GCAAACAACTTATGCATATGCAACACACTTCAATCTATAATATAAGTCTCACCAAACTTCAAGCTGGACAACCTACCATGACACAAGGAGAAATAAAGCAACTTAAGCTAGCACAACTCATAACTCCTCCCCTCTAAAGAGCTCGGAGCTTGAAGCTCGGGAGGTTTATGTATCGGCCTAGCTTGATCAGGCCAAGTTGGCCTTTACTTGCTCACCCACACTAGGCCTCTAGTCCATCATCATAAAATGAAACCCTAAGTGATTAACTCCTAATGGCTAGCGAGATATCTTGGTATGAATATATTGTAGAATATCATAATCAAACATATTATATTCATCTAATGGAATATCCTCACTTATCAGGAACAATATCTTTACTAATCAATAACAATATCACACAATCATTGGGATATATCTCCAAGACATCATACAACATCATCTCTAAACTTAGAGATTAATCACTTACCTAACCTAATTCTTAACATAAACTATCCTATAACTTGAGCGTTGAAGTGTCTTTATAAGTGACCCCACTGCCGTGGATATTGAAGTGTAAGGACATCATCCCATTGTCAAAGTACTTGCAGAATTTTGATAAGAATAGAAAATAACAGTCAATAAACTTTGATAGAATATGTATATATTAAATGTGTCTATATTTTTATAAGTTGAGTATTGTAATATTATATGTGTGTATGTTTTATATATAAAATTTGTGTTCAAGACATTATTTTATATATACTTACAATAATTTTGGCATATTAAATTAAAGTATATTATTATTATTTTTACAACAACTATATTATTAGTTAAAATATTAAAATTAAATAATTATTATTCAAAATTCAAAATTCAAAATCTTGTATAATATTTTTTGAAAAATAAAACTATATAAATAAAAAATAATTTTACACAACTCAATAATACTATTTGGTTTATCGTTAGATATGCACCACATATTAAATAAAATTAAAACTATTAATTTACTATTATTTTATTCTTATCCTACTTTCATGTTTAATATCTATAAATGTTCTACATTAACATCCACTAATATTTTGAACATTATTTTAGTTCTTTATATTAGAAACAAATGGGTATATTTTTTTAATTATAAGAAAAAAAATATTTATATTTTAAGATGTATTAATTATTAATTTTCTTTTATATACTAATGCAAGTGGATGCATTTAATAATGTATTAACAATACAATTTGCATTCGTTGGTGAAAAAAGTTATTTCTTGAATTAGGAATAGTGTCATTTAATGCTACTACTATTTAAACCAATCAATTTAAAGGATATTTTTGGAATAAAATTTAATTTTAAGACATTATTAATGAATATTAATTATCTTAACTACTTTTATTGTTTTGGTAAATTAATTATTCATTTCTAATATAAAAGATCAAAGCGAGTATTACATTTATGAACAATACAAACATAAAGAAAGAAAAAGAAGAAAGGGGGAAAAGAAAAAGGGAAAAAGAGAAAAGGTTTAGTCCAATTCAAAGATAAAGAGATATAAGATCAACATAGAAAAGATTGAGCTACCATTGCAAAGAAGTGAAAATAACATAAAGGTTCAACAAGTCTATTATCTCAACTGAACTATAATGGGAATGTTAGATAATATACTTGTTGGGCCTTTATATTATTTCTAATTCTTTGTAAATATAGTTCAATCTTTTACATTTTGGTCTTATATTTCTTTATCTTTGAATTCTTAGCTTCTTAGGATTCCAACTCTATTTCATATTTTCCATGATGTTTATCTTTAGGTTAACAAAGGTTCTAGACACATATCTCCACATCCTCTTAACCTTCCAATACAAGTAATTATGTCCATTCAGTGGTACACTAATAGAATGGAGAGCATCATCTCTTTCATTAGTCATCACCATCAATCACAAAAAAAAAATGACAATGAATAACCTAATTTGTGCAACCCCCCCTAAATATGTTTATGTGCAAGTAGCATTTCTCCTGCGCTTGACCTCCAAACGAAAATTCCGATTAGATAAAAAAAATCATCTTTTGAACCTAGTAACCAATTTTTAACATGATCCAACAATTAACTAATCTAAGATTGTCCCAAATTGAAAAACTACGATATGGTGAAATACAGAGTGTGTGAATTGCATTATGATTTTTTTTATTCTCTATTAACTCATAAATAGATCTAAAAAGTTATGGTTTGGATCGAACCAACTCTGATATCATGCGAACAATGCAAACATAAAAAAAGAAGAAAAAGAAAGGAGGAAGAGAATACAAAAAGAAAAGAAAAAGAGTTTAACCCAATTCAATAATACAATAATATTGAGATACAAGAGTCAAGATAAAAAGATATAAGATCAACATGTAAAAGATTGAACTATACTTTCATAAAAGAGTTAAAATAACATAAAGACCCAACAAGTTTATTATCTAACAACATTACCATATTAGTAAAACCAAAAATAACAAAACATTACTTAATATAATATGAAACTTTCGAAGAAAGTTGTTTTTATTTTTCTTTATTTGTCATTTAAATTTTTTAAAATAACATTAATTATTGTTTATAATTATACGGGAAAAAATAACTAAAATATCCAGTAAAATGAGATAAATAAAAAACATTAAAAATGATAAATAATTTTAATATAATTAATGGATTAATTGTTTTTCTGATTTAAGTATCTGCGAAAGTAATTTTGCTATTGATCTTTCCAATAATTGAAGTATGTGCGAAAGTAATTTTTTTTTATTGATTAGAATCGTGATATCAAAAGATTTATAATAACAGTTTACACACTTTGTTGAGAAATTAAATTTAAATTTACTTAAACTCTACCCTTATTATAAATATAGAATACAAAATAATACTTAATATATTTAAAAATTGTAATAAGTATTATTTGTTATCAATATTTTAAAAACTTAATTTATTTGTACTTTCAATTGTTTTCACACATGTTCAATAGAATTTGATCTTTCTATCGTATCATTTTATTTATTAATATAGGATATCGCAACAGAGTAAATTTTGATAGGACAGTATAAAGATTTATATGCTGACTTTGTATAAGTTTTTTTTTAATGTATGTAATTAGAAATTATTAGGTGTATTTTAAAAATAATTATTATAAAATTACTTAAATATGTTTCTAGTTCTTATAAATTTAGTAAATTTTAATTTTGGTCCTATAAAATTTTTCTATTATTTTCGTCTCTATAAAATTAGAATTATTATTTTTATTTTTTATTTTTTTATATAATTATTTTTAACAACTTTTTATTTATTAAAAGGTTAAATAACCATCTTAAATATTATTCACAACTATTAATAATGTAACATTGATATTCAACACCTCCAAAAATTCTTATAAATCTTCAAAATAAATATTATTATCTATCTTAAAATGATTGTTAGAAAATAAAATTAATAAATTTAAATTTAAGAAGAATAAAAATAAAATAAAAATATTTTACAAAAATTAAAATCAAATTTTATTAATTTCACAAAGAAAAAAAAAATATTTATTAATTTTAAAAGAATAAAAAATAAAAATATTTTAACAAAAATGAAAATCATAAGTCACTCATCTTATAAGTCATAACACTAAAAATATATTTAAAGGTTATAAAGTTAACAAATTTATCCTACATCACAATTTACTATAGATAATAATAATATAAAAATGATTTAGATTGTGACTGCATGTAAATTAAATTTTAAAAATAATAGTAGTAGTACTTTCGCTCTCTCGGCGGAGGTTTTCTTCTCTCCTATCATTTGCTTTATTTAATTCAACTCTTCATCTTTATCTAATTATTTGTCTTGTAATTATCACGTTCTTTGTCTTTGCATTTTTTGTCAATCCCAGATTCCCTTTTTAGTTGTCTGCACAATAAAGAGTAAAAAACATTCTTTATGCCAGGACGAACCCCATAAAAAATCACTTCTAATAGACACTTGGGAGATATAGAAAGAAATAAATCTTGTAGTAAAAATAAATAAATAAATAAATAAATAAATAAAAGAAGTCATATATATCATAAGTGATTTAATTTAAGAGGAAAGGATAAAAATAGAAAGAAAAAAAAATGAAAGAGATGGGAACACCGTTGAAATGTCAATACATCAGAATTTCAGCTTCTAACTCGTGCGGAGAGTCACTCCATTTATCTGCCACAAGTGTACAATTCCTTTTTCGGTGCCCCCATTTCGTTTGTTTTAGGATAAGCAATGCAATACAAGCATTTCTGTTATACCTTCCTTTATCAATCAATAGAACAATCATATCAAGCTTTTAAAATAATAACTTTTATAGTAGTTAATAAATTTTCCATACAAGGTATTTTATGATTGGAAATAAAACAAAAACATGGTCATTTTTTTATAATAAATAGTCAAGATATATCATAAGTAATTTATTATAGAAAAGAAGTCAACACCTCTTGTCTGCCCTTAATACAGTGTTTGGTCAAAAAGAATTAGAAAAAAAAAAGGATGTAGAGAGATTTAATGAATTTTTGTTATTTGGTTTAATTTGCAAGAAGGATTGTCTAGTTTTAACTTTTTTATATACAAGATGATTTGGAGAGAAGGAAAAAAGATTCAAAACATTTTTGGTAAAACATAAAAAAAGTATTCTTACTTGCATTTGAAAATTTTAAATTATAAAAATACAAATGTAAATTAAATTTTGAAATCTCTCTACTCTCCTTATGAAACAAAAAAAAAATAGTTATGCATAATACCCTTATATTAAAATCTTTTATGAATCAAACTAGAAAATAGTTATATATGGTACCCTTACATTAAAATCTCTCCCTTTTTCTTAATTAAACAAAATTTCTAACCTTTCTCCTTCTCCTAATTCTTCCCATTCTCTCTTCTACCCTCTTTTAAAATCCCTTCCCACCTTTTTTTAACCAGAAACTAAGTTGTGATTGTAATATTCTTGCCACCACATAGAATAGTGGGGGTAGGATATCCCTAGAAGAATCTAATTTTCTTTTGTTCAACTTTTCTCCTACCATTGTCTTCCTTGTGCATGTGATCCCAATCGTTTTGCTTATCAAAAGAGGCTTTGTCATCAGTCCCTCCTTATCCCTATATAAAGGCATTAAGCCATTCAGCTATTCACACATACACTCCTTACAATTGCCTGAAGCCCTCAAAAGCAAATGAGGATTATTCACAGCCTCACGTGTTTGATTCTCACTTTCATCTCCTTTACTCCTTGTGATGCAAAACAAACACAAACTATTTTAAACACCCTGAGCATTGACCATTTCCTAGATAAAATATATGAATGGGGAAATGGGGCACAAGGATTCCAAGAAGCCCAGATTCACATGTCAGGCCCTATAGTGGTGGCAGGAGTATTGTGTTTCATAGCTTCTTCTATATCTAGTGCTGGTGGTATTGGTGGTGGTGGACTTTTCATACCCATATTAACTATTGTAGCTGGCCTAGACCTCAAAACAGCTTCAAGTTTGTCAGCTTTTATGGTCACAGGGGGGTCAATAGCAAATGTCATGTGCAATCTTTGTGCCACAAGTCCTAAATTTGGTGGCAGGTTATTGGTTGACTATGACATAGCACTTTTGTCAGAACCATGTATGCTTCTAGGAGTGAGTGTTGGAGTCATATGCAACCTTGTGTTCCCTGAATGGTTGATCACTATGCTATTTGCTATTTTTCTCACTTGGTCCACCTCAAAGACCTGTAACAATGGAGTTCTGTTTTGGAGGATTGAATCAGAAGAGAGGAGGAAAAGTGATGGATTTGAGGGGCTTGAAAGTGGATTATTAGAAAATGGGAGTTCTGAAAATAGGGAGGGAGAAGAAAAAGATGCGGTAAAAAGTATTGAAGAACAGGTTGTGGTTAATGAAGAAAATATCAGGGTGAGGATACCTTGGTTCAAATTGCTGGTCTTACTCTTGGTCTGGTTCTCTTTCTTCTCCCTCTATCTTCTTCGTGGAAACAAATATGGACAGGTTAGATTTTGTTCTTCCTTGTTTATGGCTATGTAGTGATGTTATATATTTATTAAACCATGTTCTTAGTTTACTTCTTGGCTTACTATGATTTGTGATGCTGACGTTAGAACTGAACTTATAAATATATGGAACATGTTAAGTTATAGATAGGCATGAGAAACGAGTGTAGGAGTAAAAGATTAGTGCCCCTGAGTTTACCAAATTCAGGATTGAAGGTGTCTTTTGATTTATGTTTTCAAAAATTGTTTTTAGTTTTCAAAAAGCAATTAAACGAGGCAGTGCAAGGTACAAAATAAGGTGTGGAATTGAAAGAGAGGTTAAACAAGATGAAAACATAGGAAGAGTATGATAAAACATCTCCCAGATGATTATATTTTTCTTAATACTTGTTTTGAAAACAATTTTCAAAACGTGATAATTGTTTTTGAGAAATAGATTGCAGAGCAGAGTACAATTATTTTCGAAAATATTTTATAAAACCAAAAGATGAGGACGGAATCAAATAGACCCTGAGACCTTTTTTTCGATTTTTTTTCTCTTTGATGTGATTGTAAGTCCCTTTCATTGTGGTGGAACACTAGAAGCAGAAATTCTAGTGGTAGAGTATTCCTCTGGTTTGGAGGTCTCATAATATATGCATCTGATGAATGACCCTGTGATGCAAATGTTGAAATAATAGAGTATCATTCCAATGGAGCCATGTGGTGTGGGATACTGGATTATTTCATCAGCTCAAATCCCTCTTGCTGTAATTTTCACTGCTTGGATTGTATTCAGAAAAGAAAGCCATCAAGACCAAAATCTCATGCAAGAGGTTTGTAAACATCATACACTGATAACTAATATTTGAATGTTGCTTAGAGTTGGAACCTCATTCAATGAAATTTAATGCAGGGCTCATGCCTATCCTCAAATGGACCATCAAACAAACTTATTTTTCCTATGATGGCACTTCTAGCAGGGATTTTGGGTGGTGTCTTTGGAATTGGGGGTGGAATGCTGATAAGTCCACTTCTTCTACATGTTGGAATAGCTCCTGAGGTAAGTTCCATTACCTTAATTAGGATATTTTAGACTAAACACATTAATATTTTATACTTATTGTATGTTCCATAACATTTTTGCATTAACATTAAACATCAATAATTTTGAAATAGTAGTAGTATATCATAAGCATTAACATCAGGCATTAGTGGCTAGTGCAATGATTATAGTGATTGGGGTTGATAAACTGGTATTGACTCAAATTATTTTGTTGTATAGGTGACAGCAGCAACATGTTCTTTCATGGTTTTCTTCTCATCCACCATGTCAGCCTTGCAATATCTATTGTTGGACATGGATCACATAGAGACCGCACTTATCTTGGCCGTAATATGTTTTGTTGCATCACTTATTGGGCTATTAGTGGTGCAAAGAGCAATTCAAAGCTATGGAAGACCATCCTTAATAGTATTTTCGGTTAGCGTAGTCATGACTTTAAGTATTGTTCTAATGACTAGCTTCGGAGTTATTCGAACTTGGAAAGACTACATATCAGGGAGATACATGGGATTCAAACTACCCTGTTGAAAAACAATTTTGCTCAATTAGTATCTTATTGTGTGCTAAATTCGCGTGTCAACATCAGAGTATATAGTTATCAATCGAGTAAAAGTTTTGGACCTTTTAAATTTAGTGCAAAACTCCTTAGTAGGGAAACCAAGCATCTTTGGCTGTTAATGATATTCTCAGAATCTCAGATAATAGAACTTGCCATCATGGTTGAAAGAAATTCTCTTGACAATTTGTCAAAATAAGAAGAAATTTAACCTAACAAGGTTGGTTGAAGTGGAAAGGATTCAAATCCCTAACCCGTGGTCTTGATTCCATCACAAGCTTATGTCTACAAGGAAAATAATATATAAGGGATCATTTTACTCCCATAGACTTACTCTGTTCAATAACTCATATTCTACATTATATTTCAACGATTCAACTATTTAATTTAAAGTTCTTAATGCATAGATCAAATCTGCAAATTTTTAGAAAATTTGAAAATTATTTGATATTTTATTTTATTAATTCAAATTGACGGATAATCATAAAATCATTTTATACATTGATTCAAATTAATGAAACGAAGTATTAAATGATTTTCAAATTTTCTAAAAATTTGCAGATTTAATCTATGTATTAAGAACTTTAAATTAAACGGTTGGATCGTTGAAATTTGATGTAAAACATAAATTATTGAACAGAGTAAAAAGATCTCTCCTTTTATATATATATATATATATGGACACTAGCTAATTTATTTAATCATAAATAACTTGTCAAAAGTCGGTAAATTTCTTAAAATTAGAAACGTAATATGCATCATTATAGAACACGATGTATTCTGACTTTGACTATAATAAATAGAGAATTAGGAAACATGCGTTAATATATATATATATATATTTGAAAAGAGTCTCACTTCGGTGCCTAACCATAGCCGTAAAGAGTTAGAAGACCAAAAAATAAGAAATAAAAATGCAAATTGAAGAGGTTATAAATGAACTAGTATCCAAATCCCAATTGAAGAACCATGTTTTCAGTTTTTGAATTTTCAAAAAGTAAATTTCTCTCGGGATTTATTCAATCCCAAGATCCTCAAGAAAGAGAAAAAAAACAACCACGATAAAACAAAATATGCAAGCTTTTGTTTTGGTCCATAAAATATGCAATCCTACAACTGGGGCAATACTCTACGGTTCAGAGAGGTGCAAAATAAAATGGGGTTTATGTTCACCGAGTAAAATGGAATAATCCTTAAATAAAATTTACGTAATTTTTATACCGGTATTGCAGTAATTTAAAATTTACAATCCTTAAAATCAAATATTACATTACTTAATTTTATAGAAAATTAAAAGACTTAGCTCATTTGAAGTGAGAGTATATTTTAAAATATAAAATATACTCATAACTATTGATTAAAAAATTATGAGAATTGTGATAAAATTAAGTTTATGTAAAATAAAATTTAAAATTTATTAAATTATCAATAATTAATTTTTTAATTAATGATTATTATTATATTTTATTCTCTAAATTGAGTCAAACGCAAAATGAATTTAGCTCTTCTAAAGTAGTAGTACTAAAATTAATTATTCGTTATATTATACTCAACTTAATAATGGTGTATTTTCTATATGTGATTTAGCGTGAAATAGAAGAGATGAGAGAAGATTTACATGTAATTTAAAAAAAAAAATTGTTCTTTGAAACAATGATTTATGTGGATTTAAGGGTAAATGAGAGGGAGTTCCATGCAAAAAAATTACACACTAGTATGAGATGATTTGCGTAAATTTTTTAAAAAAAATAAGACTGGCAATATTCACTATTTGTTCATCACTCGTTTATTTAATTTTTTTTCCAACAAAAAAAACTTGTCATCGTCGATTATGTATAAAAATAATCACTATTAATGATTATAATAATATATTGGGTCTTATTTTTAAAGAAACAACTTATATTTTCAGTTTTTCTATTTTTGTTTCAATTCATCACATAATTTTAAAATAGAGACATTTAGTCACTCTAATTTTAAAAATATTATTTTTAAATTTTTTCATTAAATTGACATTTATTAATTGTTAAATATTAATATCTACTCATACTTAAATAATGTGATATTTAGTAAAATAACATTTGGGTGTAAAAAAATATATAAATAAGATTTATTAATAAAATAGATATTAATTATTCCTTAAAATAGGTATAAACAATGATTTTTTATGTTATTTTTTAATTTTTATCACTACATGCCACATCAATAAATATTATATCACTCTAGTGGTGACAAGTCACTAAATAATGTAAAAATTTTAACAATTAATGGATATCGAATTGATAATAGAATCAAAGTTTCATATTTTTAAAAAATAAAAGAATTAAATGTCTCTATTTTAAAATAAAATAACTAAATTTGCAAATTGACAAATATAGAATGATCAAAAGTGCAATTTAGTCTAAGAACTTATATTATAAGTGCTTAAAATTCAATAAATTGATACATTTGAATATACATATTAACAAACACTTATAAAATTCTAAAATGTTTGGATGTATTGTTGAGAATTTTATTCTCCCTTAACAATGGACCAAATTTCATTGTAGTAATTGATATCGTCCTTAAGGACTCGGAATGATTTAACAATTCTACTTTCCATTCAAGTCGGGTAAAAGTTGTGTGTACAATATTAAACAGAATAGATTTGGATAAAGCTTCAAGGGAGACTTAATGTAATATTGATTTACAATTTATAAGAAATCATACATAAGCATTAATGCAAGATTATTGATAGAAAACTTTATATAGATGAAAGCGAATTCACTTGCACTTTCTAACTCCTTGATCTTCATTAGACAAATATGATTTTCAATTAGTTACTTCCATGTTCATTAAATAACTCACGGAGATGTCTTACAATTGAGTCCCAAGATACTTAATTCTAAATGTGATTCCTCTACCCTTTAAGATTAATACCCTCATTAAGAACAACCTTGAACAAAAATGGTTAACAAACTCACGTTTATTCCTAAAGCAAGAGAATGTTAAGTGTGTGATTCATTGCAAGTCTTTGAAAATATTTTTCAACTGAGTTCAAAAGCCATGAATCATAAAACAGATGATCATACAGACTAAGTATTAAGAGAAGAATCAAACACTAATAACAGAACTGAAGATCATATATATCTAAGAGAAAGTAGAGTTAGAAGTTACAATGAATTCAATACTAATGGGAATCAACCCCCTCATGTTTCTGGCGTTAACAACAACCATGGACAATACACACAAAAGACAAGAAGAAATATTCTGAGCTGGGACGTTGGCCTAAGCGCTAGGCATGACTCCTTCTTCTTCTCTCCAGAGAGTTGGTGCTGCAGCTCCAGTTTTAGCGCTGCAGTGCTAGAAGCTCCTTCAAGTTGAAGTAATCTTCTGGGCTGAAGCTTTGGGCTGAGCATTGAGGTACTGGGCCTGATCTTTTGCCTTCCAAAGATTTGGCGTTGCAGCTCCAGTTTAAGCACTACAGTGCTAACTCTTTGACTTGCTCTTTGCTTTTCATCACAATACTGGAACTCCAGGGCTACACTTGAAGCTGCAGCTCCAAGTCTCTGGATCCCCTGCTTCTATGACCTTAAACTTGAAGAATTCCGGCAATAAAATACACCAACTTAGCTTCTAATTGCTCACAATCATGATCACGCTTCCATTTCAAATTTTAAGCTAAATATAAGGGGAAAGTTTCAAGAATTCACTCAATTGAGACATATTAGGTGTTAAATAAGAATTAAGACTCAGCATTCTCCCACACTTAACATGTATCATTATTTAAATACTTATAAGATGTTATCTCATTTTAAAAATTAAAAAAATTAAAAAATTAAATTTTGACTAAAAATAAAATCAAAATATAAAAAGTAACAATTTTTTAAAATAACATTATACATCACAATAATATTAAAAAAAATTATTAATCACCATTCACCTAATTTTAATTTATAAAAAATTAAAATTAACAATAAAATATGAGAAATTAATCATATAAATAACTATGGTTAAAATTAAGAATCATAAATTTTAAAAATTAAAAATCAATTATATATATTTTATAAAATCATGATAAAAAAAAATATTGTATAAATATTAATAACAAAATTATTTCAAATGTGCTATTTTAGATAAAGAAGTTATGAGATTTTTTTAATAATAGGAGAATGTGAGTTTTGGAGAAAAGAGATAGAAAAAAAATTGGAGGAGAAGAGAACAAAAATAAAAATGAACAAAAACTTTTGGAGGAAGTAATGAAAAATATATATAATTGGTTTTTAGTAAAAGAATGAAAAAGATAAAAATAAAAACTATTTATGTTCGTGACAGAATTCAAACTTCTATATTTTCTAATAAGTTTTCACATAAGTTAAGTAATAAGTTATATTTGACATCTTATCAAAATAAGTTCAAAACATTTTATAAGCTACTCATAAGATATTTTATAAGATTGTCTAAATACTATCATAAGCACTTATAGAATAAGATAAGTACAAATAAATTGTTTATAAGTTCTTATAAACAGGGCCATAATTGAGTAACATGTTTGAATATATATATAAAAGGTTAAAATATATTTTTAATCTCTACATCAATTTTTTTTCGTAAAATTATATGTTTTGTGTTGACATGATAAAGATTTTAACTCTTGTAATGATAAAAAATGGTGTCTCAACAATACGCGTTACAAGTAACGGTAAAAAAGGCACAAAGTCTCGAAATACCTAATTTAGAGTAACTCCAACAAAATAAATTCAATATCAAATATATAAAATTAAATTAATATTTTTATCACGTCAACACAAAAAAGATAATGTTACAAAAAAAAAATTGTCGAAACAAATTAAAAAAATATGAATATAGACTAAAAAGATCAATCTTATACCGTAGAGACAAAAGATTGAAAAATATAAGTATATAAACTAAAAATGTCTATTTTAAACTATATAAATTAAAAGGTAAAGTAAGTGAAACTGTAAAAATTAAAAAAGTATTTTAACCTTATTTAAATTTTAATAAGTTTAGTTTATTATATTTTATATATTTAGTTTAGTTTAGTTTATTAAAAATTAAAAATTAAAAAAAGATAATTTAAGAGTGGTTATGATTGGTATTCACAAAATATCAAAGGTTTCTTTTTAGGGATATAATGGTCAACTAAAAATGGACAAAAAAAATAATTATATCATCTTATATGTCCTTTATAATATGTATAAGTATATATAGATAAATTATATATAATAATGATAATTGATTATATTATTTATTTATATAATAAGATATAACTAAAATGTATATTTAAAAAATTGTAAAGAGTAAAATCGTAATTGTTTAAATAATTTATTTTTATTTAAATATTTAACTATATAATTAAATTTTAAATCATTTTTTTCTATTATTCATCTAATTTCATTCTATTAAAAAAATATTAATTTCACTCTATTTTTTTTACCTATTTTTTATTAAATCATTTCTCACCTATTTCATCATATTTTCCAAAAATAGCATAAAAGATTCCTTTTATTTACCAATTATTTTAAGTTGAACACTTTCTGAAAAGCAGAAATCATCCATACTCCCTGAAATATGTATGAAACAATAGTTCATGCATCTCAAAAATTAAATAATCTCTCCTTAACGAATAGAGTAATCGCAGGTCAGATTTTTTGATCCATTATGCATGAAAATTTGTCAAAACTTAGGCCAATAAGTTATTAACCACTCGTATTATGCCTTAATAGAATTCCCCCAAGATGGCCTCTTAAATGGATCACACAAGCTATATAAAATTGCCCAAGTTTCTCAAGTGCATCAGAAATAAGAACAGAATTCTACCAGTTTCCCTTTATTGTCTTGTTCTTGGCTCTTTTTGCTGTTATCGTTTGTAATGATTCTGAAAACGAAGTTTCACCCCAAAATAGTAGTGGGAGAAGAAGAGGGCCGGTAATTTGATAACATTCCCAAGTTCATCCCAAATAAGCACAACTTTCTTCTAGTTTCCCTTTGTTGTCTTGTTCTTGGCTCATTTTGCTGTTGTCTCTTCTAAATGGCATGCCTAAAACCAAGTTGCACCCCAAAATCGTAGTGGGGAAGAAAAGGACCAGGATTTTGTAAACAGTCTTAGAAGAATTTTCTAAATAAATTGAACACTATCATGTCGCATCTAAATGGTACAAATTTTGTAACATTCTAAAAACCTTGTGAGCATGAGTCCACCAAACAGTTAAGTTTCATTTCATTTAGAATCAACAAGCTGCTAAATAAATTGAACACTATCATGTCACACCTAAATAGTACAAATTATTGGAAGCACATTTGGAGGCTAAAGCCAAGCCTCAATAACAACCAATTTACACAAGCTCAATGCACTAAATTTTACACTCGTACAATTATCACAAAAGCATCAAGAATATCATTCACTCTGCCGCTAAGGTAGAACAAATAAACAATTAATTTTGGTCAGGGCTCTTTTAACCATAGCTCAACCTAGAATCTATGGAGCGTGTGGATGTCTGAGTCTGACGGCGTGGAATCCCAATTTCACAAGAATTGACTCTGGCGGCAAAGCGGAGAGAGCAAAGTGACTCGCCAGTTGAAGATTGATCAGGTGAGATGTTGACAAACATCAACGTTTTGGAGTCCCCACCAAGACATGGCTGCCATGCATACAATACAAGTTAACGAGCATTACAAGAACATGTCAAAGCAAATTGTGAACTGAGATCTTCCGTGATCGAACAATATAATAGAATATGTTCATCGCATTCCCCTTCACTTCATTACAAAATTGAAATGCTAGGGGCAATATCATTCAGGTTACATTGTAAAGTGATTGGTTTTATCCTTGAGTTCTAGTGGATAAAACGATTCCTAAATTAAACCGATTTTTTAAGATAGAGCTCATGCCCAATTTTATCACCTTTCAAATTGCTACAACCGTCATCTGTTACTCCCAAATGCGGAGGAGTTTCATTAATAAACTTTATTCATATAGTTAAGAAGATAGATGACACTTAGATTAGAAATTATCCTTTATTCTGTGGCTTTTTGTGCATATCATTGGAAATTTTAGTTTTTTTCTTATATTAAGAGTTTGGTGTGAACAAAGATGATACTCAAACCCAGCCCCATTTCAACTTTCTAATAGGTTACCAAGACACGTGCCATTACATTTGTTTTTAGCAATGTATTTTCACTTAAATGCAAATTTTAATATGTTAAAGAACCTGGAGAAGGTATGTCAGCTTTGAATTCCTAAAAGGGACATGCTCCTCTTTCTTTGCCAAAGCAAATATGACATCGCTCAAAGCCGAGAGACTTTTGTTGATAGCCTGAAAATGTGGCAGCAATAAAAATTATTGTTTTATCAAGAGAAAGTATAATTGTTGACAGAGAGTTCAAGATCATAAATAACAACGTGAATCAAATAGATACCTGAGTTTCCTTCAACCGGTCCCCAGTTGCCCCACTCCTTGACAGTCTTTCACTTCCAGCCAAGTCAATCAGGTTTAAGACACCTTGCACTTGTTGTTCAGTTTTCTACAAAATAGAGAGAAAAGAAAGCATCGGTAAATAAAATGTCAGAATAAAAGAACAGTAAAAAAAATATGCCAATTTATTACAAAAGCATGTACCTCGTTTATCCCACATATACGCAACGTAAAGACAAAGTGGCTTCTGGATGAGTGTTCATTCATATCTGTTCGGAAAACAGACCTGAAAAAACATGATTGCCACAAATTCTTATTTTCTTTGTTTATGAATATGAACAAGAACACATTGTCAATTATAAAGTAAGTACACTAATATTTACTCCAGTTATATCATAGACAGAAACATGACAGCTTCAAAAAAATCTGAAATTCATATGGAATAATTATGCATTCTTGCACATATTAATCCAGAAAGTTCATTCAAAGAATTAACTTCAAACAAGAAAGAAAGCATATGCAGGATTCAAATACAAGAGTAACAAGACTATACCTGCTTTGTGCAGCCTGTCGTAGGAGGGAGGAAATCTCATCCGCACTAGAAACATCCACAATGGTGAGGTCTGAAACATGTGTGTTTCCATTTGCATCATGTTTAATATTGTACTGCTTGCCAGGAACACTATTTTCCATTCGCGTCTGGTCATTCCCACTTGATTTATGTGATGATAACAAATCCCTGATGGTCTCGTTATAAATTTCCAGAATTGATGCCTGGAAATATTTAGTTAAATTTTTCAGTCTTCATTTGTAAATGTGGCCACAATGCCCACATGAAAATTGAAAATCAGGATGAAGTAAACCTGCATTCTGTACTTCCACCCTTGGTCTTTTAGAGACTGGCTAGCCTGGAATATCTGTTCTAAAGAACGTGGTATCAATCCTTTCAGATCTGGTGAATCGGGCCTACCCATCATAGTATAGGTTTTGCCCGAACCTGTTTGTCCGTATGCAAAGATGCACACCTGCCGTAACAAACCATAGCCCTCTGTGTCAAAACATGGCCTTAGACCGAAATCAATACAAAAAAAAAAAAAAAAGCAAGAAAAAATATGAAAGAAAAGTTAAGCCACCATCAACCCATGTTTATAATGGTATAATCCATTCCACTTCTGCTCTGCATCTCAAGACTGAAACAACTTTTCAAGAAATAAACAACTCTGATTTCTCTTAAGCCCCAAAAACATCCAAGATATCAACTCTGATTTACCTTGTAGCCATCAAGTGCACTTTGCACCAGTTGTGATATCTCTATGAAAACGTCCTGCTGAGAAGCCTCGTGATTAAACACCTTGTCAAACGTGAAATTGTACTTCTGCCCTGTGGACCGTGAAAGGATGGGATTGTGATGCTTGACAAAGCATGCATGCCACATGAAATTCATATCAACAATACCAGCAGAGAGAATGACAAAGACGATTGTGCACATACCGCTTTGTACCAATTCAATGCCCCGACCAAGCGTTTCTGTTGACGTAGGGAAAGAAACAACCATGTCCATTCCCGTACTGTCCTCTGGTAGGAGTGGTCGCGCGGAGGGAAAGAAACAACCATGTCCATTCCCGTACTGTCCTCTGGTAGGAGTGGTCGCACACGGCAGAACACACGTATATTTCCTTTTAGCTCCTGGAAATATAAATTAATTGGATAACGTTGAACTATAAAGCCTTACATGGTAGTGTAAGCAGATATTTATAGCAACTACAATATATATGTGTTTGTGTGTGTAATTTGTAAATCAAGCAATACCAAGATAGTGTTGTGCAGTTTTTTCCTTAGCTTCTCTCCTTCAACTACTTGAAATTCTTTATCTGCCAATCGATCTTGTAGTTCACGTATAATTCTCTTCTGCTCTTCAAACACTGTTCGTGTTTCTGAAACAGATAAATCAGCCATCTAAAAGAAAGAAAGAAAATTTGTGTCAGTCTAGTTGTCAAAAACATTAAATCACTGCAAGAAAAAAATCAGCAAACATTTTATCATTTATTTCTAAAAAAATAATAATAAGGGTAAGCCAACTGCGTTACCTTTGACTTTTCCTTTTCATTGAACAACTGCTGCTGCAGTATATGTAGTTGCTCCTTTTGAGATGAACAAGTCTCCTATAAAGAAACCCCACTATGACAAAATCCACAGAGCACAGGATGGCACAATTAATAAAATAAAGGATCAAAATAGATGGGAACCAAACAAAACAACAAACCTCAAGAGCATTTGTTTTAATCATCAATGTATCCAATTGTGTACATGTTTTCCCTGAATATTCTTTGAACTTTGCTATTTCTCCATTCAAAGCATTTACTTGTTCCGATTGACGATCACGATCATCTCTAATTTGTTTTAACTCTTCACGAAGGCATTTGAGTTCACTTGCTAAATTTTCTTTCTGCTTAACAGCCTCGTCCTGTGAAACCTGGAGGAAAAAAATATAAGAGTCAACAAACACAAAAAGGAAAAAGACTATCAAGTTACTTGCGATGACAACATGGAGTTGATACTGATAATAAATAACAATAGAAATAGTAAAATACATAAAACTCCAAATCTAAATTTTTTCCTGATCATAAACAAGTTTAATCTCAAGTGCTTGCTTGAAGAAAGAATGCCAGCAGATTGGCATCAACATACTGCAAGGTAAGCTACCAAAATACCAATGTCAATCTATTCACTTCCATTCCACACCCAATGTAGCAAAAAAATAATTCAAAATGTACATATACAGTTCACTTGATTCTAAATATTTCTAAAATTCAATGGGAAAAAAATCACCAAACAACACTCTCCATTGACAAAACATCGTATGACACTTCATAGCATGAGAAAAAAAAATACAGATACAACTTACTTTAAGAGATGCCAACTGATCTTGCAATGCCTTGTTGTGGGCTCTTGCATTGCTAAGGCTCTCAACAATGGTTGCTTTCTCTGTTTCAAGTCGTTTATGTGCCTCATTAACTGTCTCAAGATCTGACTGAAGACGACTATTGTACTGCTGCAGGCTCATATTATACTCCTGGGATCTCTTGTACAAGTCCTCATTTGAAATGGCCTGCAAAATTCAACAAATTTTAAAAGGAAAAGATGATGAGGGAATCTGAAGGAAAATAACAGTTAACATGAACATCTTTGAATGTAATGCAGAATTTTCCCCGAGGGCTATAATTTTGTATATAACCTGGTGGTAAAGTTCAATATTTTACAAATAGCTAATTAATGCAGAATTTAACATAGTATCACCTTCCTCTCAGCAACTGATTTCTCATCCCGAACTTTCTGAAGCTCAGCTGATTTCTCATCCCGAACTTTCTCTGCTTCACTTCTGGCTTCCTTTTCTTTACCATAAGAATTAATTGCTTCCTAGTTGTGCAGCCACATAAAATGAGTCCATCCGGCAATAAAGTAACATCTTTTTAGATATTCAATAACAAAGCTAGCAAGCAAACTTACCAATTTTTCTGATTCTTCCTTCAAAATTCTTTCTTCTAAAGAGGAAATAGTTTTCCTCAAATCAGATACAGTCTCTTCCAACTCATCGATCCTACTTTTCATCCCAGCCTCTGAGAAAACAGAAATGCATTATGATAAAATAATTTTTATTTCAACACGTGAACGATGTAGTTTAAAATAATAACGAGTCATTCAAGTAGAGCATTTTTTCATCCTACAAAGCTCTCATAAACCTCAACAAGCTTTCAACTACACCAAATCATTAACATCATTACTCGCGTCCCTATCTATGAGTTAAACACAAATTGTATTCAACCATACACACATAGCTTCAAAACACAGTTTTAAGATAACGCACCAGTATCGGTGCACTTCTTCTCAGCAGCCTCTAGCTCAGACTGAAGCTTTTCCTTTTCCTGAACATACCCTTCTTCAATCCTTTTAAACCACCGAACACAGAGCCTGAGACGCTTAATAAGATCCGTCATATTCTCTATCTTTTTCTGCCAAACAAAACAGCAAGTATAAAACAAAACAATTGACGCCAAAAATAAAATAAAAAAACGCATGGATCAAACTAATTAACATTATCACAAAACCTTAGAATCATGGGGATTCCCCTTTTTCTTCTCAGTCAGCAACGCCTCTACTTCCTCTTTAGTGAAATCAACGGTGGCGGCGTCGGCGTCGGCGGCAGCTGCGTTGGCGTCTGAGCGATTGCTGACATTTGAAAACGGCGTTCGGACCCTTCCGGCCTGTCGCCCCATCTTGTCGGCTCCGATTTTTCGGCGCTTGTCCAGAGAAGGTTCTTCGGCGGCGAGCTTTTTCTGAAAGGAAAAGGAAGCGATTGAGAAATTGGATTGAAAGAGGAGAAGTGAGAGGAGGAGAGACTTACGTTGGAGGGGTTGCGGGAAGCCATGTGTGGCTTCGGAGATGGGGGTTTTGAGCAGTGGGGTTTGGACTGAGTTAGGGTTGAGAAATGGGGAAGAGAGAGCGGAGCGTGAATTTTGAATTTGGATCTGTGGCCCAGCAACTACTACTACTACTGCGACTTCCTTCCGGTAATGGAAGTTCTCTCGATTTTCAAATTATAAATTTTGAAACCAACGGTCACATGCGCTCGTCTACAAGGAATAGAATAAAAAAAAATAGGTTATTATTCTTAATTCTTAATATTAACTAGTACCGTATTCTTTAACCATAAAAAAATAAAAATACAAAATTTTAATTAGTATTTTAGTATATATAGTAGCCAAAATAAAATAAAATTTTATAATTATATTATATTTGAATATATAAAATATATTATTTAAAAAATCATAAAATAATTATGAATATTAATATATATATATATATATATTCAATAATTTATAAAAAAATATTTGTTTTAAATAATATTATTTTTATTATGTTTATATTTATATATTATGTATATGTGTGTGTTTATGTGTATAAGTTTAATAAATATTAATAATAATAAAATATTTTATATTATATTTTATAATATTTTTCTTTAAAAATTGTGTTTTCTTTGTAAAGAAAAATGCAATGACTAATATAAATTATAAAAAAAAAAGTGTGTATTTTAATTTATAGATTATAATAATAAATTAATGATGAATGCAAAGAAAAAATCATGTTTATATAATAATACTATTTAAAAAGATTTATAATTTTTTCTTAAGATTTCAATGAGTTGATTTGGTCTCTATATAATTTACACACTAAATTTTTATTATATATAACTAATAAACATAAAAAGGGGTTGAATTATATTCGTTAAAAACTTCAACATTTTGTTTCAAAACATAACAAGTAAAAGGACATACTTAAAGAGAAACACATAATAGAAGATATACAATTTTGTACTAGTTCATTTTTACTATTGAAGATATGTTTGAATTTGATTAACTTAATCAAGTTTCACTAATTTATCAAAGTCACAAAAATATTCATTCAAATTCATTGTTGGCTCAAACTTTAGTAGACTTTAACTTGTCTTTTCAACTAAATTACTCAAGTATTTTTTACAAAAAAAAAAAAAAATTCATTCATTAGAGTATCTAGGTATTTGTTACAAATAAAGTTTCTTTAAGTTTCAGAGTACCTAATATTCTTTACAAAAAAAAAAAAAAAAAACTCTTTAAGCTTCTCATATAAAATACATTAATCAAGCTTTAATGGTAAGACTAATAATTTAAGTACAAAGAGAGTGAATAACTTGCTTCTCTATGGATCAAAGTTTCATATTTATAGATAATCTTAAAAGATGATTGTTGCAAATCCTTAAAGATGCACTTGCAAACTTGCTTCATTTTTTTTCTTAGTTTGAGAAGTGGTCATTGACAGGGTTGCCAATCTCGAGAGTTTACATAGTCTCGTTGAGGTCTCGTAAACTCGAATCATAAACTCGAATCATAAACTCATAAGAGTTTACTTAATATAAAAAAAAATATGTTTATAATATTTATACCTATATATAAAGTCAATTCCTTGTTATGATGTACATATTATTTATGACAGATTTAACCCTTTATAAGTATTATATAAATTGTACGATAGAAGACAATTTTTTTTTGCAAAGGAGTCTTATTTTTTAAATGGTTGATAACCACGTACTATCCCATTAATATATGTATATTTAAAGGAAGTTATCATGGAGGCACAAGGTGTCTTCTTTTCTACTAGTACTTTTAAATAACATAATAATTCAACATTTCAACTTCATATTGAAATAAGATAGCAAATTACAATATTAAGAAAAGACTAATTTTTGCTTTTAGTAATAAAGGAGGCAAATTGCTCAAGATTAGGCAAGATTGCTCTAAATTGCTCAAAAACCAATTTATTTTTTAGTTGTATAGGTGAGATTGACCAATCTAATAAACTCGGTAGTAATTACGAGTTGTCACTTGAGATTAACAACCATAATTATTGATGTTATAAATGTAATAAATGTGTTTCTCCAAATTTCACTTCTTAATCTAAGAGACTACTTATCAACTTTTCCTATTAGATGGAATGGAACATTTTTGCGTCTCAATCCTTAAAAAAAACTTTTGTGCTAACCAGACTCTTCTCAAATAGCAAGTTTTGTCTTTTTTTAAGTGAACTGCTATCTTAAGGGGGCATTTCATAAGGATAAATTTTTAGTTTACTAGAAATTTTTAGATTGAAATATTGACTTTTGATGTTTGGTATCTATTAAAAAATAAAATTTTCAAAAAATATTGTTTATCAAAAAATCATTTTTATTTCACTTATTTAAATAATCATTCACAAGAGAATTGAGAATCCAACTTTTCAAACTTAAGGGGAAAGTTTTAATTATATAAAAAAATCATAATATTCTATTTTTAAATAGAAAATATATGGTTGTAATTCATCTTCTTCCAAAATATTCAATCTATATTGCTTATTTTTCAAATATTGAGAAGTAGACAACAACTTCATGATGTAATTGTCTTCGAAACATAATTAGATCATTAAAAAAAAGTTGAATGTCATATTTATAATAAGATTAAAGTAAAGAAATATATCTAAAAAGTTATTCTAATAAAGGATATTTTTGTAAAAAATATTTATATACCAAAAAAGTATATTGTAATCAAATATGAAAAAATTTATTTCTAAAATAACTTGTTTAAATGTATGCATACACACTTCTAACAAAAATTAGTTACTATTTTCGATTGTAGATAATTTATAGAAATATCATGATTATCCAAAAAAAAAAAGATTTTAACTATTTCTAGAAAATATGATTATTAAGATTTATAATTCTTAAAATTAGAAATCATAATTTTTAGATATAAAAAAAAATTTAGATCCTCCAAAATGATACTCCGAAACTTATCTCAAATTCTTAAAAAATTAATTTAAATTATAAAATATTAAATCAAATAGTTATTTTATAATAAATTTATTAAAAAAATATGAATATTTTAAAATTTCGAACGCTGTTTCGTTGCTTTTTTGGAATATATAGCAATTCTCATAAAAAAGTAAAAAAAATCTTCTCAACCATACGTTAATTAACATCTCATAAAGGTATATGCAACTACATTAAATCATAGATCATTCAAAAACAGTAAATAACGTATTTGAAGCAAACTTAAGACAAGTGATGTGATGCATATCATGTGTTCCATCTATTTAGAAAAAAACTTCGTTTTGTGTGTTTTCTTCTTAAACATAAACTTCTCGCCTTTAAATACTTGATATTTCATATTTCAAAAACTTTGCTTGTTATTATTAAAATATAAATTTTGAGTGACCTTAATTCGTCTTTGTTCTAACAATTTTGGCCTACAACTATGACATTATATTCCAAACCGTATGTTTTCACAATGATTACAGGCCTAATGTAATTTTACAATCCAAAATTCCAAACTCGGTATAAAAAAGAGAGAGAAATTATATTTTTGGGATATTTTTTTGACTTCTTTGAGAATCAAAAGCAAGGGAAAATACTTGATTCACCTTTGGATCTTGGGAATTAAGTAGGAACTTTGAAATTTCATGACTTATCTATTTTATATTTTTATTCTTTTTGTTTCGTGTTTGGGAATTCACGAGAGTGCTTAAGCCTATTTTTGATTTGGTTAGATGAATCTTAGTTAAAACTTATTGTAACTCCCTCTCCTTTTAAATATAATGATTGTTAATGTAATTTAGTTTTTAAATTTATGTTGAATTGTTTTTTTTTTTCTTTTTTGTGATTGACACTCATTAAAAATTGTTTTATAATTTAGGGTATGTTTGGTTTACCGTTTAGGTACACATACGAACGTTCAATTCTTATCGAATGTTGTACCCGTTTGTTTAGTAATTTTTTTTATATTACATTGAACTTCATTATCTTCAAAACGTAGTTGCATCCAAAGTAACACTTATGTTGCTTTCTCATTAAACAAATAGTTTCGATTGAATGAGAAGTTTCTGTTAAACTTAACTTTTTCAACTTAAATTCAAACACACACTTAGACCTTCCGGCCGAGTCAAATTGTTAGAGTTTCATAATCATGTAACTCTTAAGTCTTGAGACATGAACATTTTGTCTTAGTAAGAATTTCTTTTTTTCAATGATTGTGACTATAATTTGCTTGCTTAAGGGATTAAGTGTGAGGTTTCTAAATTATCTTTTGAGGAGATTTCAAAGTTCAATTGTGTTTTATTTGGGTAAATTAATTCAAAATTTTTAATTTTTAAATTCTTATTTTGGATGGAAAAATTTATTTCATATAAGGAAAATTAATTTTAATATATATATATATATATGTGTGATTAAATATATTTTTATTTTTTGATATTTAGTCAATTTTTACTTTTACTCTTTGATTTTTTCTTCTATTAAATTTTTTAAAAATTTGTTATTCATGGAAGAAAATTTCAGAAAACACACATTTTTAAGGTTTAGGATTTAAATATTTAATAATTTAATATTACATCGTATTTAATAATTTAAACAATATTTTTAATTATAGTAATTTAAAAAATATTTATATTTTTATGAGAGGGGTTTGGACTAGTCTAACAAACCTAACCCATTTTACTATCTCTATAAGAGAGGGGTAGAAGGAAAAATGAGAGATAAAAAAACATATAGAGGAGATAAGAGAAAAAAAATTATTAAAATTATTAAATACTTACATTTTTCTTTTGAAAGAATTTAAAATTTTTACTATTTTAAAAATATTCACAAATACTTGAATTTCAATTTTTTTATAAATTATTTATTTAAGCAAATCATTTCATTATAAAACATTTTAAATGCATGAAAAAAATTATTATTCTCTTAAAATCTCTCATCCAAACATACTATTAATGTCTTGGCTTAAATATAGTGTAACTTTGTAGACTTTCTTAATATTCTTTATATTTTTTATTTAAACATTTTACATGCTATTCTTAAATAGTCAACAAATTCCCCTCGATTATTTTAAATTATTTTTTATTTTTATTTGTAATTTTATTTTCATAGTTATTAATCCTTACAATATAATTTGTTATTTATGATTAAATTTCAATTACTTTTTTAAGTTAATTACTCTATTGATTCTAAATTATGTAGGA